TGGCAGTGTTGAGAAATGCATGACAGAGGCACAGACTGATGCCTAAAGTAATTTCTCTTTAGGTAGAGATTTGTAGCTCCCGGAAGAGTAAAGTAATCTGTATGAGTTTTCAAAGTTTCTTCAAAAATACGAGTATCTATACAAGGAAAAGATCATTCTTTAATTTAACCTCCAAAAAGTATTCTCTGCAGACAGTAGGAAAGTGGTTATTAATTTTTAATCTGCCAATTGAGCAGTAATCTTGTCTAGCAAGTCCTTGGTTAATTTTAAAATGGAATTTGAAGGTGGTTTATATAAATCTCTTAAAATCATACCCTTAACCAGAATAGGTTCCTTAGGCAGCAAATAGGTTTTGCTTTTGCTCTTACGTATATTCCTGATGAATGGCAAGAAGAAGATAGGTTTCTTGTTTCTAGGCACAACCAGCAAATACTGCAATTTGCCAGTAAATTTTTTCCTTTGCTTATTTCTCAGGACTCTTATTTTGTGTTTGCTAGGTGTCTGCCCTTTTTTGAGGAGTGGAAAGGGGCTTTTGAAACAATCTGTGGTTTGAATTATTGTTTCTCACATGCTGCTGTAGAGATAGAACTCCCTTACAAAAGTCTCTTTTCAATCACTTTAACTTTTACTGTTACAATTATGATTTTATCAAAAGGCATCATTACCACTCTGTCTTTATAAAAACCTTATTTCCCGGTGACTATAGAGGATCAGATCCCATGAACGTGTTCTGAAGTCAGTAAAATCATCTAGATAATGGTGTACCTACAAAAACAGTTTCGAGACACGCCCTGTTTCTTGCCATTCTGGCTCTCTTGCAGCAGAGTCCAAATTCATCTTTTTGTACAATTATCAAGCTGTACATGCAACAGCATTTTGCTGGCTATTGTATATGGTGCATCCCATAATAAACATTTTCGAGACTGGTATTCAATGGACCTATCCCCTATGAATGATTTTTGCCTTCAAAAGCAAGACCAGTCATCTGGCATTAATAGTGTAAGTAAAAAGTCTACCACTAAAACCATTTGTTCTCTGGTGGACAGATTGCAGGTTCTTTATATGATAGACCATCAAGCTCCAAGCGCTTACTTTGGCAAACTGCTATCAGGTATGGAAATCTACCCCTCACCTTTTTCACAATTACTGATCTATGCCTGGACCAGCTTGTTATTTTCACTCTACTTGAGGTTAAATGCCTCTCTCATGGGTTATTTAAGGGTTGGGTGGGTTTTTTTGGCAAGTATTTTTGCCTTCTTTCTATTATCATTAATGCTGATGTCCTAGTCAGTGTCCAAAACTTTCCTCTCCTCTTAAAGACAAGTTTTTTTAAATAAAAGCCTATCTATACCTGCAGCTATTCTTTGGCATTTCCAACTTTCACTACGCAAATGCTATCTGGCATAGCTGTAGAAATAAGCTTGGTTTTTCAGATAAGGAGTTCACATTGGTTTTAATTGTGAAGCCAAAGTCACATCCTCTGTTAAATTTTTAGCTGGCAGAGGCATCTATCTTCTCCTGTCTCTGTAAAGCTTCTGTGTGCATAACTGCTCCCAATAGTATAGATGTTGTATCTGTAGTATATCATGCTACCAGTTCTGGCAGTAACAGAAATCTCCATGTTGTTATAAGATCTCTTGGCATATCATCCTTATGAAACTTAGTATTGTATACAAGAGCTGTGGGGTTTCTCACTTACAGGTAATGTGCAGTTATCTGCTAACATGGTATCATGGAATCTGCTCACTTTGTGAGAGTAATGAGCTGTGTGCCAGGGTAATGTTTAGTGTTCATCTGGAAAAAATCAGTTGGCTAGTTAAGTGTAATAAAGTCAGAAGATTCTCGGTGAGTTATAACACCATATTCTTTGTACATTGTTTGGGGGAGGCAGAGGGGACAGGACAGACACGTGTTTGTATTTATCAAAGTAGCCTAGTCTCCTCAAAATACGATTTCCTGTCTCAGAACCTTAGATGATGTAGTCAGCTGTGTCTTAGTCTCTTGTGTTCAAAAGAGTTTCTGGTCTCAGTGTATTCTTAAGTTACTTCTGCATTAATTCATGAATCTGGTGAAATCGACTCCTTTACAGTTTCTATCATAATGAAATTTTATCTTAGGATAAATTTTATCTTATGATCTTATGGATATAGAAACATCTTGTGATGTATTCTGTTTTAGCCTTTTGTAATTTCCATAATTTTCTTGGGTTTCCTTAGAACTGAATAGTCTGTAACAAAATCTGTACTATCCCCCAGAAGCATAGCAAATTGGGACATATTCCACAATTACATTCTGCCATGAGGAAACAAGTTGTTCTTTTTTTGGACTTAGCTAGTTTTGATCTGTATGGTATTTGCCTACATTTTGACATTTTTACAAAGCTAAAATGTCAATGGTCATTTGATTCTCCTTCATGAAATATTTAATTAATGGATCCATCTATGTGTAGATGTGGTGCTTGGGGACATGGTTTAGTGGTGGGCTTGGCAGTGTTAAGTTTATGGTTGGACTTGATAATCTTAAAGGTCTTTTCCAACCTAAATGATTCTATGAGTCTACATACTTGAATTCAAAGATCTCAGAAGTCCAGTTTCCCTTATGTGGAAGCAGGTTGGTTAGATCTGCCGTGTCATGGCCACCTTGTTGTTTAGACATCCATTTGTTATCAAACTCACATAGAGCTTACTGGTCAGTAAGTCTTTAGTTTCATCCTCTAGTGCCTTCTATAACTATAGGTCTGTGTTTTCCCAAGTAGAATTTTTAAGATTTAAAGGTGGACTGGCAAGCTGTGAGTTAGAGCAGGATACTTCATGGAGGCCTTGACTGTCCCATTCTGACTGGAGAAAGCCTTAAGTCCACACTGACTGGATAAAGCCTTGTGTAGTGCAGTCTGATCCCATAACTGATCATGCTTTGAGCAGGAGGTTGAGCTACAGACATCCTGAGGTCCCTTCCCACCTGAACAATGCTGTGATACTCGATTCTGTGATCTTAAGTTAATGAACAGTTTTATAAAAAAATTTGTAGGTTGATTCTGGATAACATTAGTAAAAGGTCTCGGAGGAACTTCTACACTGCCTGTGATCAGGCTTTTGCTGCGTTTGTCATGCTGCAGTTTTCTTACCTGTCAAGAGAGGATCACTTTACTTGAGTCATCTTGAGGTTCTAATAGCTGTTAATGGGTCAGTTCGGTAAGTGCTTCGTAAACACTGAGGAATTTGTGAATGCTAATGAAATGGCTTTTCTCTCCTCTTCTAGTATAATATTTGCATCCTCTTTTTCTTACCGTACAGGCTCATGACACTAAAAGAAACTATACACCATTGCTGCCTAATCAGGTGTGTCAGAATCTTCTAGTGCAAATACCAAAAGCAACATGTGAGCTGACTTTGAATGACAAACAGTAGGAATGGGACCTTTGGCATCTTGAGAGGGACATCTGTGCCTGGGTTGATGTCAGTTTAACACAGAAGTGCTTCCCAGCTTCTGGGCCCGTGCATATACCTTTGCTGTCGTTCAAATTTATTGTCTGGGCATGAGTTAACTGAGTCGTGGGAAATTTTGAGGGAGTTTACATTCAAAGGAATTATAGCCGTGTAGGTGGGACAGGGATCTCTTGATGGTTGTAGGGAGACAGGAACTTTGTTTTGCATGTCTCGGCAGGCAGTTTAGATGCAGTTTGAAAGATCTGGGATTACCGAATGCTGACTTCTACTAAATCCTGAAGTTGGTAAGAGAAGAGAGCAGCTTCTACGTGAGGTAGTGCTGGTAAGGCAGCTGGCTGCCTCTCACTCTTTAGCCAGCATCTGCTTCTTCCCTCCTGTTTTCTAGGAGTACAGTGACTCTTTGATTAAATTTAAGAAAGGTACAGTCTTGTAAATCGTACTGAAAACTTTACTTGCCCTGTTATAATCAGTTTCTTAAAAAGTTAGTATTGGTCTGTTAGTTACATTAGCATAGTTTCCCCTCTTAGCATTTCTCAAACTTGTGGAGACCATGATTTAAGTCCTGTACGTTTTCTTGGCATTTTCGTTTGTTAACATTTTAATACCATTTTTAAGACTCAATATAAAAATAAAATATGCATAACATTGTGGATACAGCTGCATGGCTGTTGTTTTAGAACAGGTTTGTTCTTGTGTCTGGGGCAGTGTCTTTTAGAATCTGATTTCTTCTTGCTACTTGCTTTGATCTGTTTAGCTAGCTAATAATATTTGATTTTAAACTGCATTTGCTTTGCAGTTTGGTTGCAGTTGAATTTCTGCTGTATGCAAACAAGCAAGGAATTTAAAAAGTTTTAGCAAATCCATAAAAGCAGTGCTTAGTGGCTGATGTACACAATTAATACTTGTGGGTCAGCAAGTTTTGGTTTTTAGAAGTGGTTTGCTACAGTAGTTGAGAATGTTTTATGGAGCAAATATTAATAATTTTATATTGCTTTGTTCATTATAGTTTCTAAAGAGCAAAGCTTTTGGCATTTCTTTTGGTAGAGGCTGTAGACAGTATATCTTTATCAAGTAGGTGTTGCTAATAAAAAATTCATTATGCCTTTTGCAAAATTCTTTAGTCATACTTGGATGCACCAGTGTAAATAAACCCCTTTTATGCTTCAGATATTGGTAGATTTTTTTTTCTTTTGGTTAGCGCCTTAGACGTCAGCCAGTATTTTTCACCAATGCCTTATGCTTAAATGCATTCTTTGTGCTTAAATTCTTAAATGTCTGTGCATATATTTAAGGAAAAGAAAGAAAGAACAAGAAAACCACCTAATGCAGAGCATTAGGATGGATCTACAGCTCAAGTCAAATAGACTTGAAGTTGTTTCCAAATTTATTCATGCTGTATAATCTGATTTCTGTAACAGATGGAAATAGTGGCAAAGTAATTATCAGTATGCTGGGATGACTGTGAAAGATGAAGTCTCAAATAAGGAGTAAAATATTGTATTCGTACAAAGTAGTTTTATAATGTAATCAAACCCTGTTTTTTCCATTTCTTAGATGATGAAGCATGCCTGGGACAATTATAGGCAATACGGATGGGGACATAATGAGCTCAAACCAATTGCCCGGAAAGGACATTCCACCAACATATTTGGTAGGCTGTGTTTTTTGGTTTGTCTTTTTTGTTTGTTTGTTTTAAATATTTCTGTCCATGCTATCATCTTTGAAAGTCCACCCAAACTTCCTAGCAAATTCTGTTTTAATACAAATGTTTTGAAGTGTGGATGACAGAAGTGTATCGATTATTTCAATGTTACTTCAATGAATTACTGTACTAAACTATCTTTTTGGGAGTGATGTGTTGTTATTGTTGCAAAAGCTAAGCTGTGTCTATGTGCACTGTTATTTTGTGTATGCATATATATATAAAAATAAAAGTTACAATGTGTTGATGGTATTTTGGGATGCAATGAATATAAATTTGTTTTTAAAAAAACCTCATCATGTCTAGATCTTTGTGTTTAATTCCATGAGAATGTGGTAAAAGACAAAATGCATGTGCAAGATGACAAAACCTGCTAGTACCAACATGAAATTTCAAGTAGCTTGTAAAAAAAAAAGAGATCTGGGTAAGGTGAAAGTGACATTGTTACTTGATGTGTGACTTGTGGATCCTGAACCTGTAGACAGGAGTGAAAGAAAAAAACATTAAAAATACAGGAGTTTGAGGCAAGTTTTGAAGAAATTCAAGAGATGGAGTGAGAAGATTTGAGCAATGGAGTGTGAATGAGTGTTACAAATGGCATTTAGAATACTATGAAACATGAGGAAGGTAAAGATCAAGAAATTGAATAGCCTTGTGTTGCGTATGTGTGATCAGACTAGATGGCTATTTCTAGATTTCTTCCTTAAAATATCAGTGATCTGCAGCAGTACTGCTTTTTTTTGGTGCAGGTGCACTGGGATAGAATAAGTAGGACAGTGATCAGAAAGTGACAAGCATTTTATTGGTACTCGAACCAGGAAAGAATCAATTCTTTTGTCCCCAGTTCTGTAGGGCTGATGGTTCAAAAAACCTGGTTGTAACTGTTGAGGACTGAGCCCTGGAGGTTCTCTAGATTCATCCTCTGGTGTAGTAAAACACATAACCTTGATGTTAGTGATTAAGGTTAAGCCTGGATTCATGGCCTGCCTTTATATTTTTTCCAGCTGATGAAATTGGGTCTGACAGTGAAAATCTTTGTGAAAATGTTCACCCGTATGATCATGTAGTCTTTGCTGTTGAATTTACATGCAATTCTGTTGCTTAATTTGCCAAGTATAATTTTAGACCAGCCTTGGTTTGTAACCCAGACTTTCTATGAAGTGAGGTTTCTTCTTTATATGGCAGGAAAATGTTTTTCTAATGTTTGTTTTTAAAGTGACTGACACAATATTTTGAAGCAATTTTGAATTATAGTTTTACTCTAATCTTTTATTTTCTTTCCATTCCTCCTCTGCTTACTTCTAACATGTCTCCTAATGAGTCTGTAGGACTTCTACTTTTTTCTCCTTGGAATGCTTATTCTTTGGATGCTTATCCTTTGGAGTTTTGGCATTGCTGTCTGAAAGAAATTGCAGGCTTCCTCCACATTCAAATTTCAGATCCGTTTATTCCAGCTAACTCTAGCAGCCAATTCCATGAGTGTTTGTCCCTTTAAAATCCAGATGCTGTTTTGTGCCGTTTAATTTTTAGCTGTGTCATGTTACGATTGCTCTGTTCAAGGCTATTCCATATGAAAAACTTGTCTGAAATATATATTCTTCGGTATATACCAAGTCTAAAATACAGTTAGCTATTGTTGATTTGATGGGTGGTTGAAGGGAAGGGGGAAAAAAGCTGGTCCTTGTACCGAGGACTGTCTAGGCTGTATTGTTATTGCTAGCAGTTTACCAATCTCTATTACCCATGGTGACACCATTCCCAGTGGTATTTGCCTTTATAGAAGCATTACATAACTCTTTTTGAAATATGATGCTATTTTTAATAAACAGCTGCTCAGCAAAACCTGTTTTTATTATTAATCTCAAAGATGATTTGACCCAAACTCTCTTCTGCCATTACTGCAGTCTGTTGGTCTTCCGTTTCTATTCATAGCACATCTGTGAGATTCAGCAAGGAGATGGTATTGCTGGTTGACACTGGAATCCTTTGCATGAATCTTTGGGGAAAATCAGGTTTACTGATAACTCTCAAGTGAGGTAAACGCAATTCAATTTAGAAGGCAAATAAGCCATTAATCTTCCATTTTTGGACTCCCCTTTCCCTCTGAAGCAGTGTATATCTATATCTATGCCAAGAGGAACATCAGTGTGCCCAGCATCGCAAGACCTAGCAGGGTTCAGGCTGTGGTCAGAGAAGGGGAGAGGAGGTGTCCTGCTCTGCTTTCATAAATCTTAGTTTTAAGTCATTAAAAAAATAAGGAAAGCTGATAAACTTTAAAACAAGATGCTGTGTGCCTCACTGAAGCATGCCAGCAAGAACATTTGAGGGCTGCTCCAATTATTAGTTTGACTTTTATAACAGAACCTGCTGGGGTTGCTTTAGTTGACCTACAACTAGAAACTCTTGCTAGTCTTTTCAAGATATCTGACCTGGTGACTAAATTGTAAAGCAGAACCTGCTAGAAGCTTTGCCTATCAAACTGTGTAGTCTGTAGTTAAAATCTTGATTAGTACCTTTTCAACAGCTGGATTACAGTGTTAGTAGTATGATGCTGGTTTGGGAAAGTACAGCTGGGAATTGTTGGGCTTTTAAAGATGTCTAGATTTAGATGACACATGAAACAAACCTTTATAGGTTCTGTGTTTGTGAAACAGGGTGATAACTTGCTCCTATTTTTGTGAAAGTTGCCTGTTTTTGAAAGGGCTTATAATCTCAAGATTTGTTATTTATTCCTACCCTATAAGATAAAATGAAGTGTAAAAGGCGAGGAGGAACTATAGCAGAGAGGTATAATTTCTCTTTCTAGTTTAAATTTTTACTTGCAGCTCTGCTGGTGTTTGTAGCAGCTAAGCTAAAAAAAGTTAACTTTTTTTGTTGGGCTGCTTAAATTGCTGGAATAATTTAATGACAGCCACAGGGCGTTATTGCAGACGTGGGGTTGTATGGGATGTGGGTCAAGTTCTCATTAGAACACAAAGGGTGAAGAGAAAAGGCTGATGGAAGATGAAGCATGTGAGATAATGAACAAGCATGACAAGCACTGAGCTTACTTCAGAAGGTTTTCTTGGTTTAGCAAAAAACAGAGTAGTTGATGGTATTATCAGATTCTCTTGCTGTAATGAAATCTGATTGGATTGGCTTTTGAGGATCAGGGTAACCATCTGAAACGTGCTGTTTAAGGATGATTTGACCCTGCATGTGTTTGGTGACCCCTGGGTGAACATCTTATGGAAACAGTATACTAAGTCCAGGTATGCTTCAGAGTTTTAAACTATGTGTATTTGTGGCATCTTTTACTTCAGTATCTTATGAACTAATTACTGTAGCACAAGCTTTGGGGATGCTTTATTGTGAGTTAAATTGAGCAGTTTGTAGTAGTGTGTTTGTACCAGTCTTGCATCTTTATTTTTCTAAAACAATGTTTATTTGAGAACCTGAATGACTTTGAGAAAAAAAAGACCACAGTCTTGGGCAACATTATCCTCAGCAAAACTAGAAATCATGGGTGGTCATCTTACCTGATGCTTTCTGAAGTTAGAGTTCTGAAATTTGTGGTGTGTGGTGGTTTTGGTTTTTTTTTTTTTTTTTTTTGTAATGTTAACTATCTAAGAATAAAGTGAAGATGTGCAGTTTGTCAGGTAATAAGTACCTGACAAAGTAACAATACAAACTCTTGCTAAATTGTAAACTTCCCATATTACTAGCAGTGCATTTCTAAACTTTGCATTTGGACATATTATGTCTAGAGATGAGCTGCATTATGTGAAGGTGATCTGATAATGTATACATACATAAACAGGTATATGTCTAGATATGTGTTCAAGGGTGTGAAAAGATCTTTCCTAAGGCATAATGATGTGGAGTTTTTAAGTTGTAGATACTTGCATACAGATACGCCCATTCTCATGCACAAAGGTTTAATGAAACAATTACCTTGTATTTTGTCACACTAGAACTGCCTCATGCATCTACAGTGCTTTCATGCCTCTCCTGTTCTCTTATCTCACATGCTATGCAAATGGTCAATTTAATCTGTATGTCTGCAGGCTCTGTCTGTCTTGGGATGTTGTATTCTGGGAGGAAGGGGAAATTGTCAATGAAGTCACATTGTGGTTGTGTTTATTACCTCATAGAGCCTCAAGGCTGCAATGCAGTGCCATATCTCTTCCCTAACACATGACCAAATACAGCTGTTGTCTCTTTTATGAGGTATTTTTGTCTGGCATGTTCAGTGTCATATAACACAGTGTACTGCTCTTCATACATACAGAAAAATGAAATTTTGAAGTTAATGTGGGTTAATGAGCAGGATGTGTCCAAAGGAACAACTCAAGGATTCAGCTGGGGCAGCTAGCGAGCTGAATTTTTTTTAACTTGCCAGTGGACTATTTTGTTTCTGCCACCTTGCTGAATGTGTCCTGTTGCCTGGCTTGCTGCACAGCCCGTCTCAGCCTTTTGCTGCCAATGCCACTGAAAAACCCCCATGACCTGGGAGAAGGTTGCTGAGCCAGCTGCTAACTGCCCACTTCTGCAGCGTGGGAAGCTCTTGCTGCAGATCTCTGTGTTGCTAAGCAATGGAGATCTTGCTGCATTTCGCTGCTGTGCTGGAGAGCACGAGCAGCGATGCTCCCAAGCCCTGTGGAGAAAATGCACTTCATTAGACTGCAAGGGTGTGAGGCTGCTGGGAGAAGGAGCTGAGTCAGGCAAAGGAGTCTGTTTTTCCAATACCTTTGGCAAGTACAGTATAGCTTGGGAGAGTAATGCAGTTTCTTTGTCTAGTTTGTGGTCTAGAAAACAAGAGGGGAAATATTTCTTGTAAGCACTATAAGAAAATGCTTTAACAGATGTTTTTTTAAATTACCCTGGGAAATATTCATTAGTTTATTAGACATTTTTGTCATCTGTCATCGTAACAGTTACTGGGCTGCCTGAGCTGCTCTGACACTATC